AGGAGACTCTCGGCTACAAATCTCGCGCGGGGAGGTTTATGGGGAGTTGCGAGTCCGTAATGACCATGTCAGGACCTCACACACACACACAGCCTTGGCACTTCTCGTGACTCCCAGCTGAGTGCGGAGGTGCACACACACACACACACCTGCACACATAAACAACTCGTCACAAACTAGTACATGGAAATATATGGATGCACTGTGTCTCGTCTGGGGATTGTGTGATATGGAGTCTGTCACTGAGAGTATGCTCTTATTGCTAGGATGATCTTAAATAGAATGCCGTGCTTTATTTGTCTGTTATTTACAATTTCTGTCTTTGTTTTGGTGGTGGTGTCGTCTGCGTGAGCCATCAGAAGCGGGCGATTTAAAAGTCGACGTAGACGACAAAGTTGATTCTCGCGTCACTTTTGCTAAGTAAACGCTATATTTACGCATCATTATACTAAATGATTTATCTGGTTCCATTAAGTAAAAAATAAGATGTTATCGGGTATGAAAAGAATAGAATATGGTAAATAGGTATAAGCCTGGCCACGTAATAGGAATGTGACGCAAGAGAACCTCTGGCGTGACAAGCGAATTTTGGCTTCGCGGAGATTCTTCTACCGTATGCATTTTCACAACTTCATTCAATTGTAAATTAGATTATAAATTATACGTTCGCGCATATGTCTTTTAGAACTTTTCCGTCGTGAAATATGTAAATGTAACAATGACTCGGATTAATGCAAATGATATTTGGCACGATAATCTGTTCTAGACTTGCAGGCAAACCTTTCTTGCTGCTTTTATCTTTCCAATGATGGCATGTGAATCATATAGCACCTTTGCATCCAAGGTCAAATGAGTCATCGGAAGACCGCACCGTTCAATTACCTCCCTTCGTTGTTCCTAAAATTACATATTAATATCTGCTCAAAGGGTCCCTCCTCCCACTTTTATCTCACTTCTCATCCACGCACGGATCATCAAAGCTCGCGTTCTGTTCCTTGTCAGTTTACTTTCTCCAAGTCTGTCATGCGTGACTGTCCAGACCCCGGAATATCCATAACGCATTCATCGACGGTGAATGAAGTAACTGCTCTGCGGTTATTGAAATCAATCTTGAAAAAATCGAGATTTCTAACACTACTGACTTCTCGCAAAGATATGACTATAAGATCCGATTTCTGTGTCTATTCATTTAATAGAATAATTTTCTGGAATAGTCTGTGGCCGTAATACTTTACGAAATAATGTCACTGGATATCTGCTGTTAAGATATATATATAGATTGTCGATACCCAGATAAGTTCACAAGGCTGGTATCGACAAGATGAATATTTCAACTTTCATTTTTTTTAATAAAAGCAAATGGATGGCAGAGAAGAGGTAAACAGAAGGAAACAAGTGTTATTGTTTACATTCTACTTTCATTCCACCCTGATAAAGTAAACTAATATGAATTCTAATGAAGGGTCATGTACTTATACATAGCTGAGAAATCTTACTGTGTTAATTTAGGGCATTGCAGTGAAGGTACACACAAAACGTGCACATACATAGTGCATGGGCGAGTACCCGCTATTAGCTATTAATATAAACCGCCCACCGTGCTACCTAAAATATCTTAGGTAAACTGCATTTGAACAGACTTGACACGGGCACAAGTTGCGTGGTATGACGTGAATGTGACTTGCATAGAATTCCGTGAAGTCACCTGTCGGATCTTGACAGCTGATGATCTGAGTAATTGAGTCTCCCTGACTACAGTATACTGCAGGCAACATATATAAGTATATACAAGTATTTCCTTCGCATTTTCGCGATCATCTAAGACTATTGGATTATAAACCTGTAAAAAGTTATTTATGTTAGAGGTGAGTCGTAGCCTGAACTAACGGCATTTGTGAATCTAGATTAAATGACTCAGAAGCAGAGAAGCGAGGTGAAGATACGACTCAGGCACTCTATTTGTACACAAACCATGAGCAACATTGGCATTCTAAGTACCTGGAAAGCGAATTATAGATAAAAAAATAATCAATTCAGATATAAATTCGTAGATAAACAAAATCTCAAGTCTTGTGAAAATGGCAACACTTTCGTTACACTTGTGAACAGACCGAGACGTCAAGGTCCTCTGTCAGTCAAGCGGAGCTACTCTTCACTCAATACCTAGGAACACTATACAAGTATTTGCGTTTTTAATGGTCCATGCATATCGTTTTGCAGGTGTAAAGGGAGTCATGAGAAATATTTGTAACTTTGTGGATGCGTTAAGTGAACGACCCGTATTAAAATACTCGACCAGTGTTTTCCTTTTTCTCTCTTGTTACGTCTTTCATTTTAATGGAAGAACAACTCGTTACTTCATGTCATAACTTTAGTGGGGATATTTATTTTAACAATTCAAACAATGACTTGATATATATCGCTAAAGTATCGGAGAAAATTTGATAATATAAAGCGCGACTGATAACTCAAACTGAACGAAATTACAAATTCTGAGCTACGACGATGTGTTTGTTTTATTAGTAGTAGTATTCCATTTGCTGAAATTTGTATGATCTTAGGTTGGTTTCATGTTTGAAGGATAACAGTTTTAAACTTTACTTTAAATTCTTGTACTTTAAATACTTGATCACCAAAGACATACCAATTTTCTGAAATTTTACATGACTGATACTCCGGAAGAATTGTGCAACACTGCTGTCGGAACGATCGTATTTGGTTTCAAGAGTATGGGTATCATGTCTCAGGCTCCGAGTGTCACGTGCTCCCCCGCCGCTTCCCGCCTCCTCTCGCATCACGTGGCCGCGGAGCCCCTGGGGTTCGGGGTAAACAAAGGCAGGCAGGTACTCCGCTAATATATATATATATATTTTTATATATATATATATATATATATATATATATATATATAATATATTACACACACACACACACACACACATATGTATGTATATATATATATATATATATATATATATATATATATATATATATATATATGCACACATATATGTGTCATTGTGTGTGTGTGTATCTCTCTCTCTCTACTTATATATATATATATATATATATATATATATATATATATATATTATATATATATATATTTATATGTGTTGTGTGTGTGCACATGCATATGCATACCTATATGTTCCATGCGTGTAGGGGGAGGATGAACAACAGACAAATATATATATATATATATATATATATATATATATATATATATATATAACGGTAACAAATGCCTATTTATTTACATATCCATCAGTATACCCATATCCATAGATTTTTATGTCTCTTTCTCTTTGTATATATGATCTTCCCATATATATGAATGAAAACTAGGTAAGGAAGGTAGGGGAAGTAAACACATATTTCTAAGCCTATGTATTAATTTAAAAGTAATCATTCGTACTTGCTTTCTGAGGTAATTTGGTACACAGAACAGAAAAAAAATCATAGAAACGCTTTCTCACTGTTATTTAAAAGTTAACGCTTTTGCCCAAAAATCTGAGTTGGCAGAATATTATGCGCACTGAGTATTTAGCACAAAGGAACGTACAGTCACGCCGTGTAAATCATCTCCAGACTGTGTACATGTGTATACTAGTTTCTGCCATTGCTCGTCTATCTCATAGGTAAGGCATCAGCCAGCAAATGAATAATGTAAGATCGAATGATGAAAGTATGAGCGACGAGAGGAAAATCCAAGCAGCAACGAGGGAAGCACAACCACACCAAGGTCTTGCGTCCATCTGCCCTTCCTGTCCCCTCTGACCCGCGCGCGCCATTCCCGGCACCTCGCGCGGGTTTTCCTCCCTCGCCAGCTCTGTCAGCCCCAGGGGAAGCATTGCTTCTGCCATCTCCACTTCCCATACGTGGGATACAAACGAGACCGTCGTATGCAATGCCTGCAACAGAGTGCTTATACACTCCTCTTCAAGATCGTTTCCCTCTCGTAAATGGAAGTGGACATGCAGACCTGCAAAAGACGAATGGATACTTCTCAGGAACGTTTCATGACACCGTAAACATCTTTGTAAGGAGATCAAGTCCTTCATAAGGAGATTAAGCCATTCTGCTTAATCCCTTTGAAGAAAGTAAGGGGGAGAAAGACGCTATTAGCAGACAATTTGGCAGATCCGGACGAATAAGGTAATAAACACATCGCCAGACGACAATGCGGCACTGAAGAGGGCGCAAACTCACATCGGTCTTTGTTTTATCATCGACGTGCATACAGGGACCGTCGGTGGTATGATGATGTCCAACTATTATCATGAAAAGAGAAAGAAAAGACACAGATTCGTAACTGCTACAAGAGCACCAATACGAAATAAGGTGGAGGGTTCAGTCTAAATATGGTCGAGCTCAACGAAACACCACCTGATGTCATCTTTATTGTTGATGGAGATATGCAATCAAAGTTGTATGCCATTCAAAGAGGAAAACAATTTCTTTGCGATGATGAACCCATTATCAAACCAGAATATATCTACCGTGTGAGCAATAGGACTGGCACTAGGCAATGGAGAAGGAAGGAAGCCAGTGCATTCATCACCCAGCCTGGAAAGAAGATAAGACTAGGCCTTTTGGGCGATGCACAGAAGCTCACAGACGAATGATCTAACCTCCTGTCGAAGTATTAAGAGAAAGCTATTCGGGATTAGGAAACGATGAAGAAGGGTATGTGGGCCACTTGATACCGACTGATAGAAATCCTACTCAATTGTGTCCTGGTACCAACAAGGCCATCAAAGCGAAGGCACGGGACCAGCTGCCCGAAAGCCACAATTACGAGAAATTATATTAATCCAAAATCCAGTGAGACTACAACACATCAAGGAGCTGACTACATGCAAAGATACTTCATGGAGACAAATCAGAATCCTTTCTCTCAAAATATGATCCAAGTGCTCTAACAAAGAAAAAAAATTGTCTTTTTAGAGTATCAGTTGTGGTCCGAGTTCTTTTCCGGAAGACAAGCCAACTCGATA